TCACTCAATTCTGCAAGTGGTTCTAATATACTATCGCTGTTCTCTAGCTGGTCTAAAACCGCTTTTGACCTAAAGGGACGCTTTTTGGACACCATGGACATTTCTCAGTTTCCAGGCAGAAAGAACAGTAAAATTACAGGCAGGGCACAGGACAAAGCACTAGGGACAAAATGTATGTGAAATGGTTTGATACAAGAATGTTATACTATGTGATTTTAGTGTATTGAGTGAATATCACTTTTACATTTCTTTCCCGCCGTTCCGTCTCCCATTCGTCTCGACGCTCGCAGGGACCAGAACACTGAAGACGGATGCCAGCATTGGCCGGAGGAGATGGCCAGGGATGCTGCAGGGGGGACATCGCAGGAGCGCAGGACAAGGTAAGTGCTGGAGGGATCCCAGAGCAACGCTGCAGGGTAATCCCGAGTGTAGCTCGGGGTTACCACTTCTGGTACTGAAAGTTTACCCCGAGCTACACTCGGGAATACCGCCAGGGAGGTTAATACTTAATATACATAGCAGCATACCAATTTTTAGATGTTTGGCTGCTTTAGTTTTTATTTTACAGAAAATATTGCTGATCCTGCTAGATATGAAGTGTCTTTGTCACTTTCTGTGAGATGAACCATTTCTTAGATTGTAAGCTCTAACGAGCAGAGCCCTCTGTTTCCTCTTGTACCAAATTGTATTGTAACTGTAATGTCTACCTTCATTTTGTAAAGCGCTGCGCAAACTGTTGGCACTATATAAATCCTGTATAATAATAAGCAAAACAATGTTTCTTGTAAACTACTAATCCAGTCATCCTCAATGCAATGTAAAAAAACAAAGGCAGACATTGACCAACCTGGGTGGCTACACTCACTTCTTCACTGTATCTATGGAGGGAGCCATGGTTGTCACATCTTCAGACTTCAAATAGGTCATCCTTTCTTTATCTCCATCACATGGAGAAAGAGAATGATTCACTAAAAATGGAGAGTGTGAAGCATAGAAACCAACAGGCTTTTTTTTTTTTCTTTTTTTTTTTAAAGCTTAATTGAACAAGCTGAAGGTAGAAGCTGACTGGGGACAATGCACATCTGCACCAGATTATGCACTCTCCAGTTTTAGTAAATCAACCCCATAGTTTACCCAAGAAAAAGCTTTTTTTTGCTTCCCGTTCAGCTTACAGGAAGTGTGTCATTTGCTGTGTTATCAGGTTAAAGTAAAGGAAAAATGAAATGCAGCCATTTCTAAGGACTGCTAAGCTTATATATACTGTATGTATATTTATTTTACATTTTTGCTTTTGGTTTATATAAGCTTTAAGTCCCCGACCTCAAACAAGTACAGTATGTATAATCAGCATGATAACCCAGCAGTCAGCAATTTTGAAGGATATTTCCCCAATGACAGATTTACATTACCCTAACTGTGAGGCTGATTTACTAAAACGAGTTAAAGATTCACACAAACTGTGAATAGTCACATTGTCCAATCATGTATAAAGCAAATCCTTGCTTACTTTTTCAGGCACACATAACTGGATAATTAAAGTGAACAATGGCACAATTAATTGTGTGAAGATTCGCAACCCTTTTAGTAAATCAGTCCAGCAATGTCCACTTTTACACTCCCAAAAACTGTATGCTTATTGTTGGCAAAAGTGTCACATGCTGAACAGTCCCCAATATCACGTCACCAAATTCTTTGGTACCCAAAACTGAATCACATTTAAGGGGGGTGCCTAAATTAATTCATTTCACAGATAGTAACCAGGATCCCTTTAATTCTTGCAGGCAAGACCATGAAAAAAAAACCAAACGTGAACGGTTTTTACATGCGAGAGCTAGGCTTTAATATTAACTCACAACTAATGTTTTGTGTCAGAGGAGCTGCTAGGAACCAGTCTGCACACTTACACGGCATTTCCGTATGTGCTAGAGGCATAGCATACTATACACATATGATCACAAATCAAGAACATTATAGCTTGGATGTGTACACTACTAGTCACGACTACATATTTTAGCTGCCAGAGTTTCACAAAGTTGACAGCGCAGAAAGCATTGTACATTTGTGATTTATAATTTCCAGTTCCTGGAATACTAGCTACCAGGGAACACAGAAACTGGTCTATGGACATCATACTAAAGACCGCTAATACACTATATATAGCTTATATATTTTATTTTTCCATTCACTGCAGAATTTATAAAAATGGAAACAGGGTCAAACATTTAATGCACTATAAACACTGTGATCCTGAAAAAAAAAAAGAGAAGGTTCCCAATAAAAAATATCAAGCACAAGCAATCATGCGCAATGAAAAATTATATTCAGGGTACAGTGGGCCTTTAAAACAACTGCTCCTCACAGTTTCAGGCAGCAAAAAATGCTTGACACTGATAAAACGTGTGTACTGCTTGTACCCACGGCAAGTGCTTGGGCAATTATTCATTTCATTGTCAGATGATTTTATTCTGGCCATCTAAATGAAAAAGCGCCCAAGCGCTAAACACGCCTAGCATTTACACACGTCTGACAATTTGCTGTCAAATATCTCCTCTCCTGAACCTGATTCTTCTGCGTTTAGTAGAGGCACATTTTACTGCCTCGAAACTCTGGTAAAATCCTATGTGTGCATGGAACATAGGGATTGATTTACTAAAACTGGAGAGTGCAAAATCTGGTGCAGCTCTGCATAGAAACCAATCAGCTTCTAACTTCAGCTTGTTCAATTAAAGTGTTACTAAACCCACAACAGTAAAATCAGTCTGTATATACAGTAAAGCATGCTTGTTATACTCACTGTGGAACCTAAGGGGTTAATCCTCCACATCACATAAAAAAGGCTGTTTGATCCTGCCTTCTCTGATCCTCCTCTTCTTCTGCTGTCCCCAATCCATCTGCTGATAGTACAGAGCTCTAGCAGTCACTCTGCACACACTCAGTTTAGTGTGTATGACTAGTTTTTGTTTCTTTGGGAGGGTGCATGTGATCAGCACAGGGCCAATCAGCACTGTCCAGACAGAGGGTCAGGGGTATGCAGCCTCATAGGACAACCAGAGGAGAATGAAAACTCCTTTCACAAGTCTTAACCAAGGCTCTGCTAGATAATGATATAAGTCACAAGACTACTATATACTGCTGAAGGGAAAAGGTATTTAGCAGTTGCTACTTACTAAAATAATTTCCATATTGTCTGTACTGTGGGAAACGTGATATAGTGAATACAGGGTCCTGGATCTAGTAACACTAGGTTTTGACAATAAAACCCGCAAGCTGATTGGTTTATATGCAGAGCTGCATCACATTTTGCACTCTGCGGTTTAGTAAATAAACCCCCTCGACTAACTGAGGTGTGTTCAGGGGCTTTTGCAAAAAAAAAAAAAAAAATGCCAAAAGCTCCTAAGCGAGAGTATAGGAGCAGCAGTGTGCATGAGGCCTAAGGCTCATGCACACTTGAGCTCAAAAACGCTTCTTTTCCTCTAAATGCCCCTCCTTGCTAGTCTATGTGTTCATGCACACTATACAGGAATTTAGAGCTAGGGACATTTAGAGGCAGAAAAGACTCCCACCAAAGTTGACTTCAAGACTTAAGCTTTTTGAGCATTCGAAACGCATTTAAATGCACCAAGCGCTAGCCGCCTTTAGTGCTTGAGCGTTTTGTCATTTCAATGGCCAAAATAAATTAATATTCTGGCCAATGAAATAAACATCCAAGTGCTCTTGCCAGGAGAAAAGCATTTACTGCATAAAGGCCCCAGTGTGCATGAAGCCTAAAAGACAATTGACCTATAAGACTGGAAAGCAGGGAGCAGTTTCAGATTTGTCGCCTAGAAGGCTGGCAGTCAGGCTTTTCCTGTAGGCATGCTTAACATATCAACTCTGCAGTCTAAGAGCCTTTTGGGGGTACCAGGGAACACAAACAAGGGCTTGTACACTGGAGCACTGGATGCCACCAAGCTGCCAACCCTTGTGCACAGAGCAGAAACTATACAACAATAGCTCTTGCAAAATACTTTTGGCACTCAAGAGGATGAAGTCTTAGAACTTAGCATACATTAGAATTAATCCATTTTACTCAACTGTGAATTTCTGTTAAAAAGAAGAAAACAAAATGAATCGGTATAAGAAAAGGGAAGGGATCACAACTAAAGTTTGTCTCTCTTTAATCAACATGGGACAGGATCACAGTAAATTCTTTATTTAATAATAAAGTAAAGAGCAATGCTGTTCAACCGCACAATACTGCTTTCGTTAGCCTGGATAACACCATTTAGAAAATGGATTAATATTGGTTTCTTTGACAGAGCGCACCATTGATTGGCACTATACGGTATATAAAAAAAAGGAATATGGGAGCAGCATGTATGATCTAGTGTGATCACCCTTTCCCTTGACTATTTGATGAGCCACTGACAAGGAACAAGAATACTCATATTAAGTGTCATGACCCCAAACATGCAAGTGCTTGTTGCAGGCCAGTGCAGTTCTTGCCCAGTAACGTGCACCTTCAAAATACAAGAACTGCCAGCTTTCATATTCTTTCCTAATAAGCTGATCAGGTTTATTCAGAAAAGCAATACACAAAATTGTGTGACAAAATTAACCACTAGCCTACAGGGCACTTATACCCCCTTCCTGCCCAGGCCAATTTCCAGCTTTCAGCGCTGTCGCACTTTGAATGACAACTGCGCGGCCATGCAACACTGTACCTATATGAAATTTTTATAATTTTTTTGTGACAGAGAGAGCTTTATTTTGGTGGTATTTAATCACCTCGGGGTTTTTTTTTTTTCTTAAACAAACCAGAAACTACTGAAAATTTTGAAAAAAAATGTTATTTCTTAGTTTTTGTTATCAAATTTTGTAAATAAGTGATTATTCTCCTTCACTGATGTGCGCTAATGAGGCTGCACTGATGGGCACTGATAGGCTGCACTGATGGACACTGATAGGTGGCACTGATGGGCACTGATGAGGAGGCACTGGTAGGTGGCACTGATGGGCATTGACAGGCATCACTGATGGGCACTGAAAGTCAGCACTGATGGGCACTGAAAGTCAGCACTGATAGGGGCACTGAAATCAGCATTGATAGGTGGCACTGATTGGCATTGATAGGTGGACACTGATGGGCAGCTCAGATGGGCACTGAATGTGGCATTGATGTGCACTGATGTGCACTGATATGTGGCATTGATGTGGCACTGGCACGAGGCACTGATGGACACTGACAGGTGGCACTTCTGGGGCCACACTGATCATCAGGGCACACTGATCATCAGTACTCTGATGATCTGTGTACATGTCCCCTCCGCGGAAAGCCTATTACCGGCTCTCCTCTCCTCTCGAGCTGTCAGCGTGACAGCTCAAGAGAAGAGAAATGCAGATAACCGGCATATACCTGTTTACATGTGATCAGCTGTGATTGGACACAGCTGATCACATGACCGAGCCCACATCTTCGGCTCTTTCTGTGATCGGTGATCCGCTGTGTCTGAGGGACACAGTGAACCGATTGCCGCGCTGCGCGCTACCTGAGCCACGCATGCGCTGTGAGAATGGGAGGACGTCATATGATGTCCTCCCAGAACGAGAGAACCACCTTGCGCCTGTCATATTACTATATGGCGGGTGGGAGGTGGTTAACCAGTTAGGGCTCGTTCACACTTGACTTTATTTCTTGCCAAACGACCCTATAGCGTTTGACAGGTGTTAGGGAAGCACCCTATGTGTGGTTTTGAGGTGGTTGATAGGCGTTTGCCAAGCATTAAAACCGCACCACAAACTCCTTTAATGCAGTTAAATGGTATTACCGCTCCGCAAACGCCTCGCAACCGCACCACAAATGCCTGGCAGGTGTTTGCAGAGCGGCACCATAGACTTGAATGGGAGGCTTCAACTCCTCCTGACTCAACACGAGGTGTTCATTTTGCCACCACGCAAGGCAATGCTAATGCTTCCGTGTGAACAGCACTGTGTGCTGCCATGTGCAGAATTTTCATTGGCGTTTGAGAAGCGTTAAAAACACTTCCCATAGGCCTGTCTGACGCCTGCTGACAAAGCTACTGTGAACGTAGCCTTAAAGTGGAAGTTCAATCAACTAAGGCTAAACCTACTCCCACTCCATCTACCCTGTGAAAGAAAGGATGCCTATACTTGCCTATTGTGAAGCCACTCCGGTCTGGTCACATCATCAGATCTCAGAGCCAGCTTCAGTGTAGAGAATCAGCCAACAATTGATGCCCCACAAGTAAGCCTATGGGTTATGATGCCGCACAGGCATTTGCAGCCATTGTTGGCGATCTCTCTTCTACACTGAAACTGCCTCTGGGGGATCACATGATCAGACTGCAGTGACCTCAGAATGGGCAAGTATACAGGTCTTTTTTTTCCCACAGATCAAATAGAATAGATTTAGAATGGGTATGGGAAATAGAAAGATTTGACTGAACTTCCACTTTAAAGATTACTGTACTCCGATAAGGAATAACTTTTAATGGCTACCGCATTGAATATTAGTGGTATTTTTACCCCTTATTAAATAACACGTGAAAATAATTGTAAGCTTTCATAAATGCTATTTTGTTTTGTAAAGGGCCCAGCATGTATTTTCAGGACAATCAGTGAATAAGCAACCTGCGCTTGGCCCATGCTGGGCAACGTGACAGTTTTGCTTAATACCCTTCTGCTCAGCAGTACACACAGTCATCATTCCTTCACTCCCTGCTATTCTCTGTAGATGATGGGAGTAAGAAAAAAAGTCTAGTGTAAGCTCCAAATCCAACTAGTAGCAAGCTGTACTGCTTAAAATGGAACCTTAGTCAGAAAATTAAGTCCTACTAGATCACATCAGGCTGGCCCCTTTTGCAGGTATAGCTATGTAAAATAATAAACTATTCTATTTAAAATCCAGTAATACACTGTCTTACCCTGCTCTGGACATGCTCAGTTGCTCTCTTTTTTTTTGGCACTGTGCCTAAAACATTAAAAATGCCTACTGTTTAAAATTCAGTAATACACTGTCATTCTGGTCTGCACATGTTCAGTTGCTCTCTTTTTTGGGGGGGATTGATTGTGCCGAACTTGAAGAGTCCACTCTGCTGAGAGCCTAAATATTTACTGCTGCTCAGGGACTCTGGACTTCAGTAGAATGGCAGCCTCCAGCAAAAAGAAACAGGGACAATGCTGGTGGCAATTTACAGATAACCAGGGGCGGACTGACAACTCATGGGGCCCCCGGGCAATAGGGGGATTATGGGGCCCCTGTGCCCTTGCCCAAACTCAAAAAAGCCTATGAAAAAGGTACCATGGGCATCTCATGGGGCCCCCTACTGACCCCGGGCCCTCGGGCAATGCCCGAGTTTCCAAATGGTCAGTCCGCCCCTGGAGCGAACACTAAATTTGGTAGCATAAATATGTGGAATGTATGCTCCTTGCTAAAAAAATATTAGTTTTTAAAAAGTTGTTATTGGTAAAGTTCCACTTTAAGGCATACTAATGGCTTCACCACCAGACTCCAGGTGCCTTGGCTAAGAGGGGCCCCTCCTAATCCCAAAGACGCAAGTCAAAACCAGCATCACCACCAAATTATTGTATTTTTCTTCAATAAACTTTAATCTGTAGTGAACAATGCATTAGATGTAACCTGTGCACCAGACCCTGCTCTTCCTACACCAATGTGCTTCTCCTTGGGGGGGCTTATTGGAGGAGTAAGCCACCCCTGCTGTGTAACATGGAGAAGGAGCAGGGACTGGCAGACAGTGTTACATGTAACATATTGTTAAAGTTCATTAAGGAAGAAGATTTGGCAGTGATGAGGTTTTTTTAAGAGCCCAATCACTTAGAACTTACACGTGGGTGAATGCCCCATTCACATATCACAGCACTGAGCCAAACATCAGTGTTGTCACATGAGAGGAAGGGTATAAGCCATATACTTCTCCATATCCAGAAATAGCAGATAATTGCTCCTGGCAACTAAATAGAGAAGCAAAGGAAAGGACAGTATTTGCTGCTGGGAAGGGGGCATGAAGCAAATGTGATGCTTTGCCCGGCATTCCCAAAACACAAGTTTGGTTTAAGGCCCGGTTCACACTGGTGTGACTTAACATGCGACACACAGTCATATGACAAGCAAAAAAACACATTAATTTCAAGGGTGGCCGTTCCAATCAATGCAACTCAAGTTGCAGCGACTTTTAAAAAGATTCCTGCACTACTTTGATGCAACTTCAATGCAACTTGAGTCCCATGACCTTTCAAGATGTATGAAAGTCACAAGCAAGTCACACTGCATGGTTGCACTGGAAATTGAATGACAATGGGGTTGTAACAGTGTGAACCGAGGATTAGTAAACCTCTCCAAAACTGACATATGTTGGGGAATAGCAGGCATACACATGCAATACAATGGCATCCATTCAATTCATAGCAGCATAAGGTATATTCATGAGAAAAAATAAAACACTTGCAAAGTTTAATTTCAAACGTTAATATATTTTCTATTTTGTTGTGAACATATGCATCGGTCACCCCTAATCGCAGAAACTGACATCATAAAAAAGGGGGAACATTTGTAAAATGCCTCTTAAAATAAATATTTCTCTTTTATAAAATAATAAAACTTCAAATAAATATACTTTACACTAAACAATATGTTGAAAAAAATTAGAAAATAAAGGCCGACTCTTAATGTAACTGTACAATATACAGAAAAGTCCAAGAGTAGAAATATTAAGGTTCAATAAGGTGAAGCACAATCTAACCATTACGGATAGATTCACATTCAACTGAATGTATATTAGTACATTTTTGTGATTGTGCCAATTCGTGTGGCACTATATTTCACAGTTGTAAATAATATATACAAAAATATAGCACATTATCTCTGGCAGAAAAAAAAAAAAAAAAGTCATTTGCTAAATTACAAAAATGTTTGCAAGTATTATTGACAAACAATGCACAGTTATGTAGGAGTGTCTGTGTTGCTTTAGCTTATACAAAGTGTGTCACAGAACACTGTGCCCTAGGCAGAGCTTGATTAAAGGGTCTCTAACAAGCCTATCAGTTAAGATAGCACATAAAAAAAGCATTTCACTGCAAACAGGAAACACAGCTATCTACCAATTGTGCCAAGATGACCATTTTTATGATTGCATATGTGTGTTAAAAGTCCATTACTTTTACTCGCTAACGCCGTCTGCTATGTTGGCTTCCCCGAGTTCCTGGGCTGTAACTGTGGCACTTTACAACATACTGTATTTGACCTTTTGCATTGGCATCCAGGTCTTTTTGCTCGGTCGTAACAGCCCTGGCACAATTTAAGGCAACCCTTGGCTGGAAGGTAACACCATAAACAAGGCAAGAACATGGACATAACACCAATGACAGACCAACGCGTGCAGCAATGTGCCTGACTGCAGGAGCAAGGGTTGTCAGCACAATTGTCCTCATCATCATTTGAGCAATGATAGAACAGGCACTTCACACAGCAAACACAAGTTCCATAGTCCACAACCTCCTGTGCTGCTGAGCAAAGGCACTGCTTGTCACAAACCCAACAAGAGGGAAGAGTCCTTGGATAAGTGCATTCTTGGCACTTACATTTCCCACAGCTCTCACACCTGTATGCATGTAAGCCCAAGTCTTCTTTGCTGGAGGGCTTTAACTCCTCTGGTTTCAGCTCAACCTGCGGTTGCACCCGGATGATACGGTCAGCACCCAGCCCAGATGATGTGTGGGATGGACCCAAAAGTCTCTGCTCTGATGAACTGCTACTTGTGCTTGTCCTTGTACTACTCCGAGATCCTGTACTCACAGTACTGGTGGATCGTGAAAAAGATGCCCGAGATGAGGAATGCATTGATGGAAGAGGACTCCTGCAAAATTGCCTCTGGTCCATTACCGTGTGTACTCTTTCATTTTTGTGCTGGGTAGTTTGACGAGGAGCAGGCTTAATCAAGGCCGGGGAGCCACCGTAGGTCCTTCTGTATACTCATTAGTATTTCGTATGGCTCTTATCTGTTCCAATGATAACACATGAACTTGCTGTGTTAGTATTTCCCTAGGGTCACTGTCACCACGTGGTCTCCCATTGTCACGCCGAACCTGGAGTAAAGGCTGGGTACCGCTGCCATTTTGTACTCTTGTCTCCATCAGTACTCTGAAGAGTTTTCACTCCAGTAGGCCGAGAACACATCTGAAATTCTGTAGAGAGAAACAAAAAATAAGTCATCTATTTTGCCAATGATCCATGAAAATATATATCTTAAGGTTTTGATCAAAAATAAGAAAAAGCTAATTCTTAAAAAAACAAAAAAAAGCTGTTTTTTGGAAGTCAAATTTGAAGTATGCGGCATACATATGCTTAGTCTTGAGGTAGCCTGAAGTGCTTACAGTATACAAAACCACTCTGATGGGTCTAAAAACCCCAATGAGTTTCCTTTACTGATAATCTGGAAAACACCTTCAACTGTGTCTCCAAGACCCCACAGAGCAACGTGCTTCCAAGGCCAGGGCTGTTTCTTGTTCCAGGGGCTCCGCAAGCCCCAGAGTCTCCATAGGAAAAGAGAATATCTGTAGGCCACTGAGCTACCTTCACAAATCCCCACTGGAGCACAAAGTAAGTGCTTTTCCATTTTTAGCAAAATAGGAAAGTCGTTCAAGTATCTCAAATTTTGTCAAGTTGAATAATGCCACAAGTGTATGTAAAGCAACCTGTGGTTTAAGTACCAGTGAGCACACTTTTACATACATCATATGCTGGTTTTCAGATTTGCTCTTGAGATTGTGTCAAATCCTGATCCAGCCCATTCTTCTGTAGTTACAGGCTTAGCAGCAACTTAATCCAGTAAAATATGATGTACAATTTTAAAAGCATGAATTCATCATAAGCAAATATCAACGTAACATGACTTGTTGCTTTTATTTAAATAAATACATATTCTGATACTGCTGCAGCTACACAAAATAACTTATTTCCTGCATACAAAATTGAGGCTATACATACAATGAGCTTTGAAATCTAGGTGTCAACTTGTCATTTAGGAGTCTGAGAATAAACTCAGTCTTCAGTATTTAAAGCCCCTTTAGAACCTGGGCAGGGCCATAAATTATTAGGTGATCTATTCAACTGGGATTTGTTTTAAGTCATCAGCATTAAAACTAATACATCCTGTTCTCAAATATTTCCTGTAAGCAGCAATAAAAAGAATCCTTTAAGAGTTTGTAGGGGATGGGGGAGGGGATCACGTGAGAATTCCTTACACATCATAAAGCCCAAAGAGAAATAACATTCTACAACCGTCTCGGTGCAAGTTTTGCTACAGGATGCTATACTGTATAAAAAGAATGCTTTCTAAATACTACATAAAATGTGACATGATTGATATTAAATAGAATTTAATGTGTATAATGATATATATATATATATATATATATATATACATACATACATATACACATATATATACACATACACATATATACACACACAACTTATATTATATACACACACACGCACATTATATTATATACACACACACACATATATATATATATACATACACACACAAATTATATTATATACACACACACGCACATTATATTATATACACACACACACATATATATATATATATATATATATATATATATACACACACACACACACACACACTAATTAGACTGCACTAAGACCAGTCAATTTTGTTCATGTTGAAAATAATCCGTGTACTACCAGCAGCAGTCATGGAGTGGATGGCTGTGTTGTGACTGTTAGAAAGCTTCTTCAAGGAAAGTACTTCTGGGAAAATCTCAGTGCCAGTCTTCAACTGTTTTCTTCACTTAAGCCAACAATGAATGACCCTTGCATTGTACCGATAGTAGTAGTGACTCTTGGCAATTATAATCAAGATCTGCCCACCAATGGTAGGCTTATGTTAAAGAATAAGTTCACCTTTGGAGCATGTTACATGTTTCACCCGTTTTTATTGTGGAACATGTAACATGTTCCCATAGCCGCAGTCGCTGCTCCTTCCCCCTCTGGCCGATAATACGGAGAAAAGTCTCCCCGTACTACCTGTCAAATTTGAAAACAGTGTTGCTGTGTGGGGTCTGCCCACACGACCATGTCATTTACGGACTTAGCGGCTGTCAGCTTGTAGTTTTCAATGAACTACCATGATGCTGTGGAGAACCATGGTAGTTCATTGAAGCTTCCTGTCAGAATATCTACTTGACGGCAAGCAGATATTCTGACAGGTCTGCAGGAGACCTGCATGGCACCAGTGATCTACTGATCACTGGTGGAACGCTTTCCAGGCTCCTGCAGACAAAAATAATAAATGCACATTTTTTTTACTTGCAAAAAAAATGTGCATTTATTCATTTATTATTTTTGTCCAAAAGGTGAACTCATCATTTAAAGGCAACCATAGGCCGATCAATATATGGTGGGATTGTTCAATTTTACTATATAAACAAGGGCAAACCTCTACAATGCATATAGGAATAGAAAAAAAAAAAAAAAAAAAAACAGAGGGTGCACCGGCCTAGTGCATTACCTTAAAAAATGTTTAATGAATGTAAATAATAAGTATTGTACTCACAAACGATCAATACATAAAAGGCACATCATAAAGGAACAGCTTTGTCCGATTCACACTGCGTCTGTCTGTAGTGAGAACTCTGGTCATCCAAAAGGCTTTGTCTGATTCACACTGCATCTGTCTGTACTGAGAACTCTGGACATCCAAAAGGCTTTGTCTGATTCACACTGCATCTGTCTGTACTGAGAACTCTGGACATCCAAAAGGCTCTGTCTGATTCACACTGCGTAGTGAGAACACTGTAGTGAGAACTCTGGACATCCAAAAGGCTCTGTCTGATTCATACTGCTTATCTGTCTGTGGCGAGAACTCTGGTCACCCAAAAGGCTCTGTCTGATTCACACTGCGTCTGTCTGTAGTGAGAACTCTGGACATTCAAAAGGCTTTGTCTGATTCACACTGAGTGTCTGTCTGTAGTGAGATCTCTGGACATCCAAAAACTGATGCGTTTCGAGGACTAGCCTCTTCCTCAGAGCCCTGAGGAAGAGGCTAGTCCTTGAAACGCATCAGCTTTTTTGGATGTCCAGAGTTCTCACTACAGACAGACACGCAGTGTGAATCAGACAAAGCTGTTCCTTTATGAAGTGCCTTTTATTTATTGATAATTTGAGTACAATACTTATTATTTACATTCATTAAACATTTTTTAAGATAATGCACTAGGCCGTGGCACCCTCTGTTTGTTTTTTTCTCTATTCATTAGTTTGTACTCCCCCGGTCCTTTGAGGGCAGCAAGGTGTGCATATTCCAAAATTTTCAATATGTGGTCCTAATGACATTGAGTCCATCCCCAAGCACAGTGGCTAAATGGTTAGCACTTCCGCCTGGCAGTACTATGGTCGTTGGTTCAAATCCCAGCCACAGCACCTCCTGCCTGGAGTTTGCATGTTCTCCCTGTGCCTGCGTGGCATGCTGGTAGGTGAATTGGATCCTGTGTAAATTGTCCCTAGTATGTGTATGTATGAATGTAAGTTTAGGGACCTCAGATTGTACGCCCCTTGAGGGTTAGGGACTGATGTGAATGTACAAAAATATATATATATGTAAAGCGCTGTGTAAATTGACAGTGCTATATGAGTACCTGAAATAAATAATAACTGGGTTTTCCACTTCTACACTGCATGTAGGAATATACGAATTATCTCTGACTTGCAAGGACTGATAAGGGTTAGTTTACTAAAACTGGAGAATGTAAAATCTGGTGCAGCTCTACATAGAAACCAATGAGCCTCCAGCTTTCATTGTCAAAGTTTAATTAAACAAGCTGAAGTTAGAAGCTGATTGGCTGCCATGCACAGCTGCACCATATTTTGCACTCTCCAGTTTTTAGTAAATCAACCCCAAAGTCTTGCTACACCTCGTACTCAACAACAATGCCAGAACCAGTTACACTGCTAACAAACATCACCGCATATGACCAGCCTAGGTCACAGCCAAGTAACAGGAGACATCAACAATAAACCAAGGTGAACACGGCTTCTAAACACTACACAAATTGCAGCAACCACCACAAAGGAAGCTTATGCCTTCCTCTCCTATGTGAACATGTCTCAACAGGTGTATGGAAACCAGGTTCCTCTTCAATTGTATTCAAGTAACAGGAAACCATCTGCCATAATCCAACTCTCTCCCCTCTCACTTAGGTCACCGCAATGTGAATGACAATAGCCAGAACACTTGACTATTCGCATATCAAACACTACCTGCATTTTACAACACAAGTCCTTTAAGGTTTCATGGCTTTGATTCACAAGGCCAAAGGACCCGTTCACTAAAACAGATCAGGGTGGGTTGAATAATGCACATTATTCATGGAATTTACAGCAGGTCAGCAAACAGGATGCTATTACTTCTTCTGGATGAAGAGCCCTTTTAATTGCAGTAATCTATAGATCCAGGCCTGTTTCCACTGAGCAGCCATCCTGCACACAGCACATTCTCTGTTAAGTTAGTTGACAATGAAGGGATTGAGATCATTGCTGTGCAAACATTATCCAGGACCTATGTGAAGCAAAAGGTGAATGTACATTTCCTATAAGGTCAATACATTATGTCGTCCACAAATGCATTATAGGTAAATCTGGATTTATGCAGTTGCTTATGTGCTAGTATTTAAAAATATTTAAATCCACACTTCATCTAACTTAAAAAAAAAAAAAAAAAGTACAAAGCAGATGGATTAGACCGGTTATTATATAGAATTATATTGATTAGACCAGTTACTGTATCAAACTGACTGGTTAGTTAAGTCTAGCAGCCATCTGGCTGTTTTAAGGGGCAACTTTTCTTAAACTGAAAGCATACAAGTCTAAAAGAAGCAGTCTTTTTTAAGATAGTATTTACCTGGCCTGGAAAATGTCTCATCTTCATATTTCTGTATACTTCCATGCAACTAAATGAGACTATGGGGTTGATGAATTCAACTGGAGAGTGCAAAATCTGGTGCAGCTCTGCATAGAAACCAAACAGCTTCCAGATTTTATTTTGTCAAAGTTTAATGGAACAAGCTGAAGTTAGAAGCTGATTGGCTACTATGTACAGCTGCAC